TTACAAGTCTTCTGCTCATGTGTTTTGTTTGTTCTGAAATTGAATAGTCACATTAACTTCTGCTTCTCGTATTTGTCAAAAACATTGGCCATACTATATCTGATTTAATGTACTAAAGAAATATTAATAAATGATGTTTTATAGCCAGACAAAAAAGTCTTTTTAAGTATGTGAAGTTCATATGAGATACATCTGAAAAATGAACTAATATCACTAACGTATAAAGAGAAATCAGTAAAGAAAAAAACCATTAGGAAATGGCAAAGGATAAAAACCTAATTAACAGAAAAAGTCATACAGATGTTCGATTTCATCTATGGCATATAATTTATAAAATTAGAAAATTGCAAATAAAGCTATAGTAAGATGATTTTCACCTGTTGGACTGGAAACGATAAAAAGTTTCACGCCCTGTTTGGAAGGACGCTGAGAAACAGGAGCAGTCCCGCCTGGCCAGTGGGGGATCAGTGGGGGATCAGTGGGGGTGGCTTCCAGGGGACAGTTGAAGATCCGAGACCGCGTGCACTTGTGGTGCGTAGTCGGGGACGTCCGAAGACGGGAAGCGACTCAGGAGCCTCTTCAAACAACAACCTGAGGCCGTGCTGTGGAGTCCTGTCAGGGGGCACGGCGTGACCTCGGCGGGATTGCTGTGTGGAAGGGCGAGGCGCAGAGCACGCAGGGCTGTGAGTGGGCTCTCCCTCCGGGGGTGGGCACGCGACGCTGAAGGTGGTGGTGGCCTGGAGGGAGGGGAAGGACTGGACGTCTGTGAGGACCCAGGAGAGGGTGAGAAACTCGGGTTTTGACTTTCTTCGAATTGTGTGTGATTACATTTGTTAGCCGTTATTTAAATGGAAAGCAGAGTCTCGCTGTGTGTGAAGAGGAGGTATAAATAAGGGAGGAAGAATCCTGGGGCGTTAGGTTTGAATTGAAGATACCAGTGTGAGGTAATGATTTTCCAAAAACAACTTCGCCGAAGGAGCAAACCGGTGAGAGAGCAGCACAGGGAGGTGTCTGTTAGGAAGTTACGGTGCTGGTTGGCTCGTGCGTGTCACTGCTCTGGTCAGGAGTGGAGAATTCAACAAGCGAGTGATTCAAGGAAAGCAAGCGCTGGATTGGCGCTGTCGCCCCCATCCCGGCGAGCTGCTGGGCCACGCTGACGCCAGTGCGACACACAGGTCTCACCTGCGACAGGTGCTGTGCCGGGTGCTTGATGCACAGGCTGGCCGCAGCGTGTTGTGAGTGGGACACGTGGGGAAACACTCTGAGCTAGAGGCGGGCCTGCTTGGCGGCCGGCCGGCCGGCCTTTGATTCAGTGCCGTGGTCGTGTAGGTAGAAGCTTATTACCTTTATTTGAGGCCAAGACCTAACTTTGTGCCACGTTTAAACACAAAGTGTTTTCAACGCATGCAGAATTAATTACCCTGGACTGCGACTGCTGTGTGGAATCCAAGGCTGTCCTTCGTCTGGTTTGCAGCCTGCTGGCCAGGCTGTTCATGATGGGGCCGGACTGCACAGGCCTGTGTCCGCGGGTCCTTGGCACCCGTGGTGCTTCTTGCAGCAGACGCCGAGGAGACGTGCTCAGCACCGCCGCCCTGGGGACGTGCGCACACTGACCCCTGTGCTGTGCTGTTTTGTCGCAGCTCTTCCTGCTCCTTCACGTCTTACGTAGGATGGTAATGTGTGATTTAAATTGTGTGTAGATACATCATCACCTAATTTCATTTTAGAATAGTTAAGGGGTCATACAATGCTAGTTGTAAAAGGGGTTATGATTTACCATGGTTGACTGGAGTAGCATGTGGTCCTTTGACACGTAGGTGGCGTCCTGTGTGGCAGAAGTTCAAAGCTCTTCGGGATACGGCGTTGCCGCCGCTTCTCTCCTCCAGTGGCCTGTGTCATCGTACCCGTGTTCTTTCCTCTGACTGTGCTCCTGTTCGAGTGTTTTTGGTCTGGGTGGTCCTCAGTGACCAGTCCACCCTGCACATTTGGGGAGGAAGTTCACTGTCCTCTTCCCTGATTTCTCAGGTCCCCAGAGAGGAGCGCGCCCCCCGCCTCCGCCCCTCCGTCCAGAACAGGGTCCATCTGGAGCGAGCCCCGGCTTAGCCCTCCGGCCTCCCAGGACCGCACAGCAGCTGGTGCGGAGTCACAGAGGGGCACCCCTGCTTCCCTGCCCGGGACAACACACAGAAGTCTGTGGGGACTTGTAAATATGTAAATGTTACAATAGGCTCCTCTGTCCTGACTTTTTACCTTACGTGGGAAGATTTTCTTACCCAGAGATCCTCTACCATTTTGGTTTTTTTCTCTGTTCTGTATTGAGTGGTTTTTGTTTGTTTGTTTGTTTGTTTAACAAAAGAGTTGCACACTCAGGCTGCATGCCGTCAGTACTCACAGCCTTTGTTCTCTGTGGCACGAGTGGTGGCCGGTGCAGGTGACCCTGGTGCAGCTGTGATCACGTCAGCAGGGCCCGCCGCAGAACCCCGTCTTTAATTAGGCCAAAGTAAGATCTCTGCTGCTTGTCAGCCCGTGGAGAGGCACGGTCCCTCCGTACCTGTTGGTCCCTTCGCAGAGAGCTGGTGGCATCTGACAAAGAACCGCGCCACCTGGCTGCCCTCCAGGACGGAAGTGACGCCCGAGCGGCTTTATGAAAGCCACACCGTGAATCGTGCATGACGGCTGTGTGTGCGCTGGGAGTCAGAGTTCATCGTTTCAGGAAGGGGGGCTTGCAGCTCACGCCGAGGTGACTGTTCAGCGGCTCCCCCAGTCCTGGGAAGGCCCCGTGCCAGGGACACGGCCCTGGGGAGGGCACCCCCATCTGGCCCGAGGGGCTCCGTGGGGACTGGCGGTGGAATCCCGTTTCTCGCCGCCAGACCTCGTTCTGGTCGCCTGTCCTCGGCGTCTGCTCCGCACGTCCACCAGATTTACCCAGAAAGCACGGGGTCTTAAAGGTGCCGCCAAGTACCTCTTGTCTGTGACTTAAAAATGTCTTCATCAGAGCTGGCGCCCTGCCGGATCCCCTCTGTGGGACCTCCGTCTCAGTGCCTTGGAATGGCCGACCATGCCAGTGCTGGTTGCCACGGCACGCGTGCTGTGTTTGCGTTGTTTGATGCCGCTTCCCAGAGTCCACTCTGGTTTATTTAGTTTTTTTAAAATAGTGGTGACTGAGTATTACTGGGTGTAAACTATAATTGAACGATACCATTTTAAAAAGTAGGGATGACCGAGCTAACCTGAGATTCAGAAACTGTCACCTTTTTGTGACAATATATGTGTAAAAATGGTATTAAATGGGAAAAGTGTGATTTTTTCAGATTCTGGGAGTTTCTCAGGTTCATGTTAATACCTAGTAAAATTGGCGATGTTGAGAAGTTATCACAGTCGAAATTTCTGTTGCTTTTCCACGTAGGGTGTGGAGTGAGGAAACGGCGTGTGTCTTCACAGCGGCCTTCAGCGCTGGGCCGCAGCCCGTGATGACAGCGAGCGCCGCTGTCCCTGCTGGGCGGCGCTCCAAATCCAGCCGCCGTGTGGCTCCTGCCACTGTAAATGATGCATCGGCTTCTGGGGCTCTGTCATGTGGCATTACTGCAATCTTGGGCTTAACTTCCCCTGAGCTCTGGGCCCTTTGACATGCTACCTGTAACCTACACGTTCTTTTAACAAGTGCTTTAAGGATTTAAAATGTTTTAAATGTTTTTCTGTTCATTTCCTTTAAAATATGTAATCTTGTATTTAGGCTATTTTTAATCAGGTAAGAGCTACATTTTCTAAACTTGGTCTGTAGACAGCTTTTTACTTCTTAAGTTACAGATATATGAGACTTTGAAACAGTCTTACTGGGTGATTCTGCAAACTTCCCAATTCTGTATCAGAGGGGGCATTTTTACGTAATGTTAACTGATAAATGCCGGCGACCATTTTTCCACAGTGCAGGCATGGCTGCGTCTCTGCTCCTTGCTTCCAGGTGCTTCTCGACCCTGGCATCTCAGTGGTGGCGTGGGTGCACCTGGCTGAGCAACCGCTGCCGGCCGGCACTCACTGAGCACCTGGGCGACACGTCCTGCTCTTTCACATCCATTCATTGTTTTTTCTCCCAAACAAGCCGAGGGCGGGTAGGTGCCAGTGTCTTAAATTTTCCATGAGAATTTTATTTTATCATCTTTGTAATGTTTTTAAATTCAAAAAGGTTTTTAAATTACTTAGCATTTAGTAAAATTGATGGCCCCAGAAGATACCTATTAAGTGTGGCTTCTGTGACCTTTTGTACTCCCAGGCACACCTTCTGCAGGTAACTCGGTTTGGGAAGTACGAGCTCATGGGAGCAGTGCGCATTTCTCTGTACGAAGTGAAGGCCAAAGATATGTTTAATTACTAACACAGTTTACTTAGAAAATATAGTTTGCATATATTTAAAAGTCCGTCGATGTTCGGTGGACACACTCGTCTTGGCCCCCGGGGCCCGCCACGCTGGCTCGGGGCTGGAGACCCGCTGCTCTGCGCCTGCGCTGTTCCGTGCCCTCCGGAAGTGAGTGCGCAGGCGCGCTGAGGGCTGCGTTCCGCCATCCTCCCAGACGAGCCGGGTGTCCTTCCCAGGGACGCCTCCCTGCTTCGGCGCGGCCTCGCTCCCGTCCCTTTCACCGCCTGGTGTGCACTGGACGGTGCACGTGCCCTTCCCGCATTCGAGCCTGAGCTTTCGAGGTCGAGGACTTTGCCTCGTGGCTTCCTTATAACCCCTCTTTCCGGTCCAGTGCGGCGCCGGCGCCTGGCACCTGGTGGGCGCAAGGAAATGCTCGCCGGACGCACGCGTGCGCGAGCGGGCGCGCTCCCTCCGCCCAGGGCCTGGCGGGGGCGGCTGTGCCGTTAGAAGCCGGACTTGCCGTGGGCCGGAGCGTCCAGCGCGTGGGGCGGCCGCCGTGTGGACGCTTGACGGCACATCCCTGGGGGTGCGCGGCTGCGATGGCACCTGCCTGTTGGTGCCTAATGTTTCGTTTTCTTCCTTTCAGGAATTGCTGGACAAGTACTTAATAGCCAACGCAACTAACCCGGAGAGCAAGGTCTTCTACCTGAAGATGAAGGGCGACTACTTCCGGTACCTGGCTGAGGTCGCGTGTGGCGACGACCGCAAACGTAAGCGTGTTTGGGTCGCGGGCGGAGCTGAAACGTGAACCAGGAGGGGAGGGTTAGTGGGACACTGCGACAGGAGGTTCTGTGTAGTCCGGAGGTGTTCGTAACTTTAAAAACCGTTTTGGAGTCTGTGTGCAAAGAAAATAACGTTACTTTATGTTCTCAAAAGTGAAAATATAGCCATGAGTTCACATTGTGTGTTCTATTTACAAAATTACACTCGCAGCCCTGGCCCGGTGGGTCAGCCGGTTGGCCATCGCTCAGTGCACCGAAAGGCCGTGGGTTCGATTCCCATGCAGGGGCGCGCACCAGGCTGTGGTCTGGTCCTCGGCCGGGGGTGTGTACGGGAGGCAGCCGATCGCTGTTTCTCTCTCACATCCATGTTTTTTTCCTCTCTCCCCCTTCCTCTCTCTAAAACAACATCAATAAACATATCCTCATAAACCTTCTGATTACAGTTAAGATATTATTAAAAACAGGCCTCATCGCTTATGCTGTAGATGGTGGTTCACCATAATTTTAGTCCCAGAACCCCTTGCGTATGCTTTGAGTGATGCTCCTTACACTGTGGAAACCGGGTGTGTTTTCCTGTTTGACATGTTAACCACTGCCTGTTTTGAAGGATCATAACATTGACGACTAATTACCTATAACCAAATTTGTGAGGATAGGTGAAATGAGAGCATTATTGCTGGCGTATAATTTATCAGGAGACATAGACTTGGGGAAAAGAGTAATAACCGAATTGCCTAGCGTGCTTGTTGGAAAAATCAAAGTAAGTTAATTAGCAGTGAAGTCATTCTCCTGGAGTGCTGGTAGCTGAGGATAATGAGATCCCATTAAATTTTGTGTGTGTTTCTGCTACCAGCAAATTCTAGGTAGAAGTAGCACTGAACTCCTTATTCCTTCCCAACAAGCCTATTATTTTGTTCTCAATTTTGTGCCATCTGGAAAAGGCGAACTCCTGCAGAGCTACTAACGGAAAGTGAGACAGTTTCACCATCCAAATACCGCTTTAAAGATACAGAGAGAAAATTCTGTTACCCTATTGTAACAAAATTTGTATACTACACTTAGTGTGTCGTTGATGTAAAATCCCCGTTGCCGTAAAAACAGCAAAACTGAGAGCGACAGGACTGAACCTTCCGACGCCAGCAGGCCGGCCCCCGCGTTTATCCCGTCTCCCCTCCCTGGCTCGCTGGCACTTGGTGGTCCTGAGCACACAACCCTGCACCGGCGTGAGGTTCGGCGGTAGCGGGCACTCACAGCCGAGACCTTTCCTCGCCGTGGAGCCTCCTCAAGAGCCAGCCGGCCGCTAGCCAGCGCTCCTCAGCGCGGGGCTAAGCAGCCTTGCTCCCGTCCTCACACTGGCTGTTCCAGAGCGGGGGAAATGGGCAGGGTCCGGCTGCATGGGGACCACCGAATCTCTGTAGGTCAGTGTTTCCAGAGCCCTCATGGGCCAGCGGCCTCATTCAGAAAACCTTCCCTTTTCAACACAGGGATATAGTCAAATTATGTTGGTAATGCTTACTGAACATTTTTTTTAGAAAGGTGACTTTTTTTTTTTGATTCTATTTTTAGAGGGGAAGGGAGGGAGAAAGAGAGGGAGAGAAACATCAGTGTCTGGTTGCCTCTTGTGCCCCCCACCCCCACTGGGGACCTGACCCACAACCCAGGCATGTGCCCTGACTGGGAATTGAACTGAGGACCCTTTGGTTCGCAGACGGGCACTCAGCCCACTGAGCCACACCAGCCAGGGTAGGAAGGTGACATTTTTATTAAGCCAGTAATCAAACTCTAGTCAGAGCAGGTTTTGTTCTCTACGCTGGCACTTTTATATTGCTTTTCACATGATACATCTTGATACAAAGGATCAGTATCGTTTTCACAAATAAGTCACAAAAATAGAGATTTGGTGATGGTCATCTTTGTAAAGTGTTTTTCATTATTTTGAGAAGGGGTATTATAGCCAGTTTTTCCCCAGCTTTATTAAGATATTATTAGTATATACCAGTCAAACTATTTTTAATTACTGCATTTTCAAGTAGTAAAATTAAGCATTGTAAAAGAAGAAAAACTTTGGAGCCCCAGTGATGGAAAAATCTGACGTAGTATATTAATGGGTTTTTTTATTAGGCTGATTATAAGCCAGCAACATTATAAACTAGTTTTTAAATACCCAGTGCAACAGAATGTTTTGGTTTGCTACTGTGGTTTTAAAAGAAGGCTGGAGAGAAAGACCTGGTTCTGCCGAGAGCTAGCAGTACGTGTTAGGGGTGTTAATATGCTGTATACTGGATGGGTGTTTTCAGTATCCTGCTTTTCTCTTTACTTTATTTTTTTTAATTTTAATTTTAATTTTAATTTTAATTTTTCCTTTTCCTTTTCCTTCACAGAAACGATAGATAATTCCCAAGGAGCTTACCAAGAGGCTTTTGATATCAGCAAGAAGGAGATGCAGCCCACTCACCCAATTCGCCTGGGGCTGGCTCTGAACTTCTCCGTGTTCTACTACGAGATCCTGAATAACCCGGAGCTGGCCTGCACACTGGCTAAAACGGTACGGTGTGCGTTCAGGGAGGCCTTCTTTAGCCAAGCTTATTTGAGATAACAGATAACTGATTTCTAGGTATTTTATTTGCTTGGGTATTCAAGGGGTGATTTCTACTATTTTTATTTGGATACCTCCTTTTTTTTTTACCATCATGAGTTATTAAACTGAGAATCCGAGGAAATGATCCCACCAAGTTTTGTTTTGAGTGCATAGTAGAACATAAAGTGGACGTTGACCTATTTTGTGCAAATGGTTTGTCACCGTGGGCTGGCCAGGCGGTGTTGATGCAGGTAGTTGACGCAGATATTGCTTCTCACCAGGCTTTCGACGAGGCCATTGCAGAGCTCGATACACTGAACGAAGACTCCTACAAAGACAGCACCCTCATCATGCAGCTGCTTAGGGACAACCTCACAGTGAGTGCTCGTTCTTCCATCTCCTTCCCAGGGACAGAAGGGCCTCTCTTTTATTTCAGGCCCCTGTCTCTTGGGGCAGCCATGTAACGGCTGCACTTTCTCTTAGAAAATGAGTATGTGGATGCATGAAGAAAAGTATATTTTGTACAGGACAACTGTTCTTTTGTGGGTAGGTTTTCGCATTGAACATTTTTATCAGACCTTCCTGAGAAGGTACAGAAGTTTCAGGAACTCAACTCAGTTCACATCAGTGTTTCATTGGGATAAAGTTGATGATAAATTGGGTTAATGTGGATGGTCTAACCCTGGCTGGTGTGGCTCAGTGGATTGAGCACGGGCCTGGGAACCAAAGGGTCACCGGTTCGATTCTCAGTCAAGTTACATGCCTGGGTTGCGGGCCAGGTCCCCAGGGTGGAGTGCTCGAGAGGCAACCACACATTGTTGTTTCTTTTCTTTCTCTCTCCCTTCCCCTCTCTAAAAATGAATAAAGAAAATCTTTAAAAAATATATGGAGAGTTCAGGTAGTTTCAGCATTTTCTTCTCTTGGGTAAATGAGCTGTAGCAAGGCAGGGGCTATTGTAGCCACCTAAGCTTCTCCAAAGTCACATGAAGTGCCTGCCGCTAATACAACTTGACCTTGGGAACGGTGTGCGCGTGCTGTTGGCAGGCGACGGGCCGCGGACCGTGCTTCCCCGGGCTCCTCTGCCTCCGGGCCAGCTCCTGCCTGTGGCTTGCGTGTCTTTCTAAATTCGGTTTTTCTTCGTTTTTCTTCCTACTACTCAGACAAGCAGATGATGATAGAAAAAGTAATGGAGGAAAAAATATACAGGTTGAGCTTTATTTAGTGTTTTTTTTTTATAGGTTCAAGTAGATTTGATATGTCAGAACCTTAGACAAAAGGTGGAAGGAGGCCCACCCACCTTTTACTATTCGTGTAGTTCTCCCCCCACGCCCTGGTTTGGGGGTTTATCTTTTGCTAAAGGGTTCTTTTTGCTGTCGGCACCATATCGGTTCAGGGAAACGGGAAGGCACAGATCCCCGTCGTCGGAGGGTGACGGCACTGGGCGGGAGCAGTGTCTGCAGGGGAAATGCGGGCGCCTTCCTGGGTGCGCCCGGTGCCGCCTGCGTCTTCACGGGTTTTCTGTTCTCTCCTGTGGAGACGGTTCTCCAGGGACATTTGTTTTGTTTTTATTTACGTTGGTATCTTAACAATAACTTAAAGATTGTATAGGAGCCCGCTTTTCTGAAATTCAGGTAGTGTCCTGGTCTGATAGAAGTCCATTTTGTGGGGTATGGATTTTAGTCAATAAATATGGACTCTTCCATTTTCACTTCATCGTTCCACTGTCAACTTAGACCCTTAGGGATCAGTTTCGATTTCATACCCTGGCTAGCTCCCCAATCCTTCCTTTGTGTGTTCATGCACACCTGCTTCTTGCTGACGCTGTGTCGCCCAGTCCGGCTCAGCTCTTTGCAGCAGCACAGAGTGACCGACTTTTGTACTGTATGATGGCTCTTTAGCTACTTGGAAGTAGTTACTATGACCACGGTCTCTCCTCTTCTCTTAAATTTTTTTGCCTTAATGAATCTCAAATTATATTTCAGTAGTGCTTTCATGAAGAGCTTTGAGCTGTAGGAAATGAGAGAGCGAAAATTCTAAGGATGTTACCTTGCTATTTTCCTGAAATCATAGTACTTACAAAGAGTGAGCTTTAAAATGGACTCAGACAGCCTTGGCCGGGGAGCTCAGTTGATGAGAGAGTATGGTCCCGGCACGCCGAGGCTGCGGGCCCCGTCCTGGTCAGGGCACAGGCAGGAAGCAGCCGACGAGGGCGTAAACGTGCGTGGGGCGGCCAGTCTCCCTCCCTCTCCCTCCCTCTCCGATATCAGTAAATTAAAAAAATTGCGATGTGCTCAGGGCATGTGTGTGTGTCACTTCAGACCCACTGTGAATAGCCTGCAGGGACACACTCGGGAGGAGTTGGTGGTGTTTGGGGTTCTGAGAGCTGTGACTTCCGTCCTAATTATCATCTGCATTGTTAGAGTAATTCGCTGCTCGCAGAATTACAGTCTGATACAATGGTGGGACTGGACGTAGTTGTCTGCTCTGGAGACAGTAACCGAATACCCTCTCTCTCTCCTAGCTATGGACATCAGACAGCGCCGGCGAAGAGTGCGACGCGGCGGAAGGGGCAGAGAACTAACCACGTGCAGGGCGCCACCCGCCTTCCCTCCGGAAGCCTTTGTACACATCTCCGTTCCTTACTCCGCGGGGCTCCCTAGAGCAGAGAGCCCCACTCATGTGTATGGAGTCAACTGTTTCTAGTCTTCTCACACTGCAGCTTTGGGAGAACTCCAGTCCTTGATTTGTGTTTGTCTTGGCCTTCCTGGTGTGCGGTTACTGCTGTAGACAAGTATTAATAGCTTCATTTCACATCAACATAAGTAACTTCCAAACACTTACGTAGAGGACTAAAAATGTATCTGGTATTTAAGTAATCTGAACCAGTTCTGCAAGTGGCTGTGTTTTGTATTACTGTGAAGATTTGAAAATGTAGTTAATTACAATTTAAAGAGTGTTTTACATAACTTCTTCTTTCTACATTCCCTCCCTTGCTCTTCTTTGGGGGCTTCCTTTCAGCAAGCGCTTCTCCACGTTCATGTATCCCTTTCGGGTAGGACCCCAGAGGTTTTAGATTGAATGAAAACGCATTCGGCATTTCTGGGCTGGGGGTCACAAACGGGAACGTCTCCTGTGTCAGGTGGTGGGGGGCTTGCGTGTCTGTGGCAACAGGGGTTTCCTTCTTTACTCTTCATTTGCTGCTGTTTCGGTTGACAACTTCCCTCCCTAATAAAAATTCACTTATACCTCTGGCCTTTGTAGTTCTGGTATTCACTTTCCTATGTAGTAGAAGTAGCATGTTGCTGCCAGAACACAAGCGTTGCTTTCGGTAAATTCAAGTGCATGTCATTTCTTAATGCAGTGGGATGGGGAACAAGTTGAAGTCCACAAGTCCAAGTCCGACACCTTAGTGCTTCTCCGTGCGGATGTGTACACGGGTGGGAGGGAGCCCGGCGTGTCCGGTGACCGTCCGGAGCCGGACCGCCGCCGTGCATTGCTGATCGTGGGCTGTAGTCCCAGAACGCCTTGTGAAAATGTTGTGCCCTATGTAACAGCAGAGTAACGTAAAATAAAATTACATTTTATAAACCACTTACCATGGCTTTGTAACAGTTGCATGCTTCTATTTCAAAGGACAAGTGAATTTACTTTCTGAAGTTTATTACTGATACTTTTATGTAAAATGCAGTGATGAACCCCATTCTTTGTGATACACTTGGCTGGGGTTGCCTGGAAAGAAGTGTATAAACTTGGCCTATTTTTCGTAGAGGTAGTGTTTTATTCATACATCAGTTCTGTGGGCCGTCTCTCCCTCAGATGCAAACGATACCCAGTTAAGTGCTATGTGTGGGATAAAGAGGACATTTTTAAACTGGAAAAGTTAGCATGAGATTGTGGGTGCTCTGGCTGGTGGTAGGGCTGTGCTTCAGCGGACGTTCAAACAATGGCAGGGCACGAGAGCGCCCTGTTCCGTTTCCAGGTGACTCCCGCTGAGCCCCAAGTTGCCCATCAGTGAGTTCCAGATGATTGAGTTCCACAGGGTCACCGTGGCTCTTAGCACCAGCCTGTCTTAAGTACTGGCTGGAGAATTTAAAGTCAAAAGATAATCTGAAAAATAAGCTAAGATTAATCTTTGATCTAAAAGGTGACTGTGAAACAAGGTTTCATTTGCACTTCATTTGTTTCCTGAGGGGAAATGAAATGAGAAGGGAATGGGTCTTGGGGAAATATTTAAACACAATTACCAGGACTTTGGCCCTCAAAATCTAAATCAGTAAGGTTCCTGTTTTAATGAGGGAGAAATATATCTAAAATTAGAACTTAGCACAAACATCTGAATCAATTGTTTCCCCAACACTTGCAGACAGAATATCTCAGATTCCACACAAGGTTCTGCAAACCCATGAGTACAAACTAATCTTGACACTGAATTTGGATCGTCTCCATGGAGGAAATCCGAGAACCAGATGTGAATTTATTCTTCCAGAAGCACTTTATGTGTTTGAGGAATAACAAAACATTTCTTCACCGCCTTTATTTGAGGCCACTTAAGGAACCACTAAGATGGAAACAGCAAAAAGGAAAACCTCCAAGAGAGCCTTCCACCACAATGAAGTGTTGCTGACATCAAAGTGCACACAGTTGCTGCATCATTGTCAATGAACATTAACTGGTAACTCAGAATCAATTTTATGTTTATAGTCTAGTTTCCTCAGTGTTAATTGTTGTAAACAACTTTTGTTTTTACATAATATTGAAGTTAAAATTACACATGCAGGGCTGGCTGGTGTGGCTCAGTGGATTGAGCACAGGCTGCGAACCAAAGGGTGGCCGGTTCCATTCCCAGTCAGGGCACATGCCTGGGTTGTGGGCCAGGTCCCCAGTAGGGGGCGCATGAGAGGCAACCACACATTGATGTTTCCCTCCTCTCTAAAAATAAATAAAATATTAAAAAATAAAACGGGTAAAGGGAGGATTTTAAGCCTTCTGAGATAGTTCAGAATTTGTTAAACTTATACCTATTCTGTAGTTAAAACATTTGGTAGTTTTTTCTTTAAAATGTCATTTAGGTTTTAGTAACTTAAAATAATTGGGGGTGGAGCCTGGTTGGTGTGGCTCAGTGGATTGAATGCTGGCCTGCGAACCAAGGGGTCACCAGTTGGATTTCCAGTGGGGGGGTGTAAGAGGCAACCACACATTGACAGTTCTCTCCCTCTCAAAATAGATTAATGGAATCTAAAAAAAATACAATAACTGGGGGTGGGGAACACGTTCTAACAGAAAAAATAGAAGCAATAGGGATTTCTCTATCAACACAGCGTATGTTCAGCTATGATTTGTTGGTCCTCGACTGGAAAAGAAGATGACATTTGGTGGGGGACAGGGTTTGGTAAAATACAGTCATGTCTGTCACTTAGGTATCAATAAGGACTTAAACTCATAGCACTAGGAAGGCCATTTAAAGGTGTAATAATTCTAATATAAGAAAACTCAGAAGAATTCTGTCTAATCATCTATTTTTTAAAGAACTGAGATTCTGAGTTGAGCCAGACTTTCAAACATTTGAGAACTATTTTAAGGGTGGATGTGTGGCCATTTTTGTCATTTTATGAGCCTGGTTTTATTGATTCTTAAGTGTCACCTGATAGTATTAAAACTAATAATCTTATTTTTAATGGTTTAGGAGCCTTCACTTTAAGCCAGTGAGGGCAGTTGTATGTTTTATTCTGCCCTCTTCCCTTGTATGATTTGTATTTGATCAGCTTTGTGAAAGGAGAGTTACCATGTGTGCATATTATGTGTCTTACTATTGCACTTGGACATGACAATTAAGTACCAGTATGAGCCACCTGCCCCATAACTTGGATCCATTTATCAGGTGCACAAGTGACCTGAAGATGTGATCCAATTTGAGGCAGACTTGCCTTCCACTTTTTAGCAAAATTTTACTTAACAAGTGACTCCATCTTCAGAGCCAATGCCTTAAGCAGGGGTGTCAAAACTCATTTTCACCGGGGGCCACATCAGCCTGGCATGTGAACAGCTACATGTGATCTTGGGCCAGCATACTGGGGTAGGACATTTCCGGGGACATGGGTCCCAGCTAACACTAATGGCTGAGAGGTGCTGGGATTTGTATGTGGGTTTAAAGTTGGTCTACTCTTAGTAACTGTGCTATGTTGCCCTTTTTTGGAGACTAAAGCAGTACCAGAAGATCAGTGCTTTTTTAAACTTAGGTCATGACCAGTTCAGTGGATGATGGGTCACAGCCAGCCTTTTTTTAAAGTGAAGTAGAATAGAAAATACATGTGTGTTAGTAAGCATAATATTTTGTGGAATCAGTTTTTTGTGTATGTGACTAGTGGGTTGTGAGGGAAAAGAAAATGAATTGATTTCAAATGAGTGAAACCATGTCTTCCGGGTTGTTAAAGGTTTCTCTGCAGTCCGTGTCCTAGGACCGTGACTGAAGTTGTTCAGGTTTTACTGTTGGGAATAACGTCATTTTTGAATGATGGCATTGTTGGGTCTCTTGCACTTAGCACTGTAAGACTGACATTTCTGTCTTAGAATGCGCTGAGCAAGGAGAGTGTTAATGCCTTTACAGAAAAGGGGGCGCTCCCCGTCTTGAGAGTGAGTCTTATTCTGTATTGTTTGGAGATTATGTAAAGGTTAATTCTTCTGTTTTTTCGTTGTCCTCAGACACTAAGAGTATTTTTGCAGCATTGCACAGACTTGGCCTAAGACTACCACGAAGTGCTTAAACCCGCAAGTGTGGCGGAGTTAGGATTTCCTCACCTAGCCAAGAGGCTTACAGGCTCTCATGGGATATGAATTACTAAGTGGGTTTGAAACTGGGTCATGGAACTTGGATAAGAACGAGTATGTTTAATTAAGGCATTTTATACCTCAGATGAACAGATTGGGTCCCGTTAAGTCAAAAAATGCACAAAGCGCCCTGGCTGGCGTAGCTCAGTGGATTGAGCACGGGCTGTAAACCGAAGTGTCACAGGTTCGATTCCCAGTCAGGGTACATGCCTGGGTTGCAGGCCATGACCTCCAGCAACCACACATTGATGTTTCTCTCTCTTTCTCTCTCTCCCTCCCTTCCCTCTCTAAAAGTAAATAAAATCTTTTTAAAACAGTAAAGTAATATTAAAAAAAGATGTTATTAAAAAATGCACAAAGCCAGTAATTATGGATAACTGTTGGGAAAGATGCTGTGATTTCCTGAGGCATGCCACAATGGGCCTAAATTGAAACCATAGTTGAAGTATTTTAGTAGGAACTAGCCGTGAAACTTGACCACGCGGGACCAATATTATATTCCTAACAACTGACCATTTCACGCTGGAGGAGAGGCTGTCTCTTCAGTGGAAAATGTGCCATGTCCTACTTGCATAAACTTTGGTTGAACCGAAATAGTAATATGCATCTAACGCTATTATTCAGTACCACAAACACTAAACTGCAGAGCTAAAATTATGCCAAGGATTGCAAAACAAAACACGAACTGCCTGGGGAAATTTGGAATCTAAGCCAAAGGGTCCGTGCATGCAGATGGTTGGATTTTAGTAAGTTAGCTGGAAGAGTCTAGCTTCTGAATTCACAGGTGAGTTAGGTCGAAGACCCTAGTTTCTGGAAATGCTTGCAGAGCTGCAACCTACAGCGGAACCCACGAGGAAATGTGTATTAAGGAATGAAACGCCTGTTTACTGCCCTCCATAAATAGCCTTTTCCTTACAGTGGACCGGGGCCTAAAACATCGCCGAGGGTCACGCTGAGCGGGGAAGCCAAGCGGGACCCATCTGCGTCGGGATGTGCGCTGCCCGGATCAGGCGCAGCGCCGCCGGCTCTCGGAGCCGGTCCTTCGTCGTCGGCATTTCGTTTGTGGGTCATTCCCTGGAGCGCAAAGGATTAGGGGTCCCTCCTCGTCCATCCCTGACCCCACGGCGGTTTCTACGGCTTGTTTTGTAAAACGCAGAACGGGGAACCTAACCAGAGCTGGGACCAGTACAAGGGAGAAGGCTGAACGGGCCTTCGAGGGCCTGCTCCCAAGCTCCCGCCTCCCTCGCAGCGGTCACTCGGGGACGGAGGCGAGGACCGCCCGGGTCAAGTCAGGACAAAGCGGGTCGCGCCCGGGCAGCTGGACGGAAGCGAGAGGCCGAGAGGCTGCCTCTCCGCCAGGGCCGGACGCTGGCGGGGGCGGAGCGAGCGGCGGCTTCCCGGCGTGCCACGCGGCGCCGGCTTCCGCCAGTGGGCGGGGCGGGGGCCGGAAGTAGACGAGGCCGGACTCCCCGAGCGCTGCCCGCGCTTCCGGGGCCTGGATCCGGGCTGCAGTCATCCTATAGGCGGCGCGGGAGGAACGAGTGGTCTGAGGGGCCGGGAGGGCGGATCCCTTTCCCTCCCAATGTGAGCGGCGCCCCGACCCCCCGTCAGACGAAGGCTGCCAGGAGAGGTGGAGACGGTGGCCCGGGAACATGCGGCAGTGTCTCCTCTTCCTCACCAGCTTAGTTCCTCTCGCGCTGGCGCCGCGACCTCCGGGCGAGCCGAGCTTCGGCTCCCCGCAGCGACTCGGTAAAGACCCGGGGAGTTGGCTCCGGCCGGCGCCGGGCGCCTGGAGCGCGCTGCTTTCGGGGAAGAGCGGGAGCCGGAGCCGGCGTCTGGGGGCGGGGTGTCGGGCGACCGAGGCGCGTCCCCAAGTTTTCTGGGGATGAGGGGGGTGTGGCTTGGAGTTTAGGGAAAGAACGGAGCGGGGCTCGTCTCCCAATGGGAAAGGGGTCCCGGAGGCGGCCTCCGGTCGCGACGGAGGGCTTGGGAGGGGTCTGCTGCCCTGGCTCGCGTTCGGGAAGGAGGTGGAGGGGTGGGGGCGCTGTGCCCAGGTGCCTGCCCGACGCAGGTGTCGGAGGAGCCGGGGAAGGGCGCGTGGCGCCACAGCTGTTCCTGGCGACCTCGGGGGCGAACTAGAATTTCTGTTGCGAGAGGCGGTCGTGCACTAAGCCGGGTAGAGAAGGTGGGGGCTGGAAACCCCTTTCTGGAACTGCGTTCGGTGGACCTCGTGAGCGTGCCCTCGGCTATTTAAATTGGAACCCACGGAAGGTGCTCGCGGTGGGGAGCGCTTCGACCTGCCCTCCGCCCGCTCGTGATGCTGCTGGTGGGAATGTTTTCCTGGCCATTTTAAACAACAACAACAACAAAAAAAATGATCAGGGGCGACCAGTTTGATCAATTTTGAGGCTACAAAGTGAAGGGGTCTTATTTAGATTTTCTGAAGACATTGGATTTTGAGGATAGAGGTACATTAGGAGGGTCGAAGCTCGGCCCAAGTTTGTGTCAACTTGTACTGTCCGGGTCCTTGAGCTTCCAGAAGTCGGCAGGGGGGGCCGTTGGATTGATTCCCGATGCAGGGCGAGACCTTTTCCCCGGGTGCGAGGTTGCAGCCTCCATGAGTTTTCACAATTGTCTTGGTCCCCAAATCCCGTCAAGGTTTAGGTTTTAGCGTGGCACAGATTTTGACACCATGTCCACTTTCTTTTTTTTTTAGGCTATTTTTTTAAAAAGATTTTATTTATTTTTAGAGAGGGAAGGGAGGGAGAAAGAGAGAGAGAAACATCAATGTGCGGTTGCTGGGGGCCGTGGTCTGCAACCCAGGCATGTGCCCTGACTGGGAATCGAACCTGCGACACTGGTTCTCAACCCGAGCTCAATCCACTGAGCTACGCCAGCCAGGGCTGATGTCGACTTTCTTAATGGCTGATTAAAAAATTTGCAGTACTTGGCAGTTGTTTTTTCTGATTCAAGGTCAGAAGATGTAAGTAACTCGAGGGTATCCCAGGGGTCGAAGGTCCTCGCCTGAACAGCCCACCCTGTGGCTCCAACTGAAATGGAAGGGAAGGGGCAGACGGGTTAGGGCAGCTGAGATGTGGTTAGTACAATGGGGGGAGACTTTTGAGGTGGGGGTGGTCGGGAGAGGGGAGGAATGGGATAAGGACCCGCTGCACTGGGGTTGATGTTAATGAAAAGAATGAACACAGTGTATTTTGAGATACTGAAGTTTCCACTCCAACACAGCTGTTTCGCTTTTATTATCACTGCAGGTGGAAAAACAAGCATGAATCCCAGGGATGCACATAGTATAGAGGAAAATCTTGCTTTCTAGATCAGTTATCAGCAAGTGATCGTAAGGGGTTTTTTGCAGGGGAGGGGGGGCGTGTGTTATTTGCAAAGCGCAGAACACTGGTGCCAGGAAAAGGCACGGACTTACTTACCCCTTAATTCACCAGCTGTTGGAGAACACGCACCGCATCTAAGTATCGTGCGTGGCTTTGGAAACACGACTAACAAGACCAGACGCACCTGCCTTCAGCACCCTTTGGCAGAGTGGGAGGGGGGATGTAAACAGGCATCCCCCAGCCCCCTGGAGGAGAGGAGCGGAGCCCCACCTGGTGGGGAGTGTCATCCCCCGGGAAGTGGGACCCAGCCTGGGAAGGGGAGGCAAGGCTCCCTGAAGGAGGTGCCGCTGGAGCCCGGACTTGAAGGTTCGGTCACACTTGAAGGTTCCGTCGGTGCAGAGGGAGAAGAAGGACCCTCCTGACGGGGGCACTCCGAGACTGTTGACATTGACCTTAGGGCGTGTGCCCAGGGTTTTCACGGAAGCAGCGGGGAAAGCAGTCTCAGCTGTAGTGAATTGACAGGTTCACACAGTGGCAAATACGTGTCTAGTGGGTATTGTTTTTCTTCTGAAGAGAATTGACTTTGTGTTTTTGACGGCTTGGGATATAATTTGTTGCTTAACTCCACCATTATTTAGATTGAATTGGTCAAGACCAATGAATAGTTTCATAGTCCAATGAATAGTTTCATAGTTAAAGAGCGCCGCTGATTAGCTTACATATCCTGTAAATGTTGTTGTAACTGCAGTTCTGAATATTGATTAGGGATTCGAACCTTGGCTTTTGGAGTGCTCCCTGGGTTGCTCAAAATGATTCCACTTGAACTGTTATGAATTTCATAATTTAGGAAAGTTATGAGTCATGTGAGCTTAGTCATGATGATAGCGTGAAGTTGCAGCTGGGGTGTCCAAGTCTCTGATTTCAAAAGTGGTTTCTCTTTGTGTTACTTTTAATAAAAGAGGATGTAGTGGGTGGAAAGAAGAAATGTAGGTCACAGATGAGGGATGAGAGCGGTGTCGGGACCGTGTGGGAAGGCGGGCGCCCTGAGGTTCTGCTGTGGGGATTCTCCGCACTGCAGGGCTCCGTTCTCTTTACGGGTGGCGCCGTCCTGTTCCGCTCGGTGTCTGCACATCTGGCTTCCTCTTTTGGTGCTAATTTTGCTTGCAGGCTGCATTCTTTTTAAACCCAAACACACAGCCACCCTAACCGTTCCGAGGGAGATGAAATGCATTTCTGTTTTTTCCTAGTCAGAGGCGCACTGTGTTGCTGTGGAGCAGAAGGAAGAGCGGAGTGAGGCAGAGAGCCCCGGTGGGGAGACGAGAAATCCTTTTGGCCGTTACGGGTTTTCCAGAACATTAAGCGGAGGTGTCCCTCAAGGCCACGTGCGGTTGATTTCTGGATTCCTCACCTTGTTATGTTTGTGAGAGATGGCGAGTGTTTTTAGTGGGGAGTGGAATCGGAGGAAAGTACGACAAGGTAGGGCAGGAGGGACGGGACAGGCCTCACGGAGCCGGGGGAGTGAGCCGCGGTGCTTTGTCACGTACCCCCTAACGTAGTTCTTAGTCCTGAAAGCAAGCAGGGACATGGTGACTTCCTTCTCATACCTTTTTTTTCCCCCTTAACATGACCTTAGGCTCTGGCAAGTCTCCCTGCTGCCTTGCTTTACTTTCTGACTGTGTTCTGGTTAACTGCTGTCTCTGGCGTAGAAGTGTTCTCTGGAGGGGCACACTCACGTGTCCATCTGCCCACGTGATGCTGCCCCCTCAGCGTTCACAGGTGCATCAGATGCAGCGTTTCCAGAACGACCTGCCTGTTGGTTTGATTGGGAGAACGAGCACGGGCGAGAAGGTGCGGTCTGGGACTAGGCGGGGAGCGTGCTGGGAGTGGTGGGAGCGACCTCGTTGCCCGCCCTGTGTGTGCGTTGCTCTCGGCTCTGGGGTCTTGTGGGCCAGTCCAGCTTTCTCCAGAGGCCACCTGGGGCTGCGTGGACTCTCACTTTAGCTCCGTTTCCCTGCGACGGCTCTTGCTAGAGAGTCTTGGCCCAGGTTACGTCCCAGCCCTGGTGAAGAGCTCTTGACGGGCAGTTATGTGGGACAGCTTATCCTGCCCAGCTGGCATGAAGCCGTAAAGTGAAGACTTCGGTGTCCAGGACCTGGGCGCCACGGCCCAGCAGGGGCCACCGCTCTTCTCCTCTCTGAGTCCTGAGAGGGAGGCACCCGTGCCTACGGCTCATGGCGCGGGAACCCGGCCAGGCCACCCCGTCCTGCGTGTCTTGGGGAGCCCCGAAGAGCAGTCTTTGGCACAAGCAGCACAAACACTCGACAGCAGTCCGGCTTCGTGTCTTCCACCTCCGACACCAGAAGTAGCAGCGCGGCGCCGACAGTGGCGTTGGGAGGGACGCTTTGTGCTCCGCGCAGCAGAGGCTGGAGCGGAGCGGAGCGCTGCAGGTGTTCTGCGTTGCACTAGCAAGCTGTGCCCCTGGCGATGCCAGTTATTGCAAAAAGGAAAAATTCCACAAATGGTCTTCTCATTCAACACTTCACTGTTTAAAAGTCAGTTTTATCATAAAAATGTTGGTTCTGGGCTTGATGAAAGAAATATGGGTACACTTTAAGTCATTGTATCAAAGTCAGTGGCCATGAAAGCTAATTCCATAAATGAAACAATATAGGCGTAGGAGGAGGGTGGGATGGAAGGGTTATCCAGTCTGTAGGCCGCTCCACACCCACAGCTAGAAAGCCAGCTTATTGCAGGCCTGGGGGGTCCAGCTTTCTCTTTATTCCGGGAGAACAAATAGAAGGAACGAAGTATCGGCTGCTTTTACCACTGATGTCAGTGTTGAAAGTCACGCAGTAACGGATTTGCTCGCTCTCCACCTAAGGTCACTGTATGACTTACCAGTGACCTAACTGCCAACCTATGATAACCTAATGCAAAACAGTCCTACATAAATGAACAGTGTGATTTTAAGCTGTATATATAAGAGACTAGACAGAGTGTGGAACACCAGGACACCAGCATCTTGAAACGTCCAGCTATCTTATATCAGCTGCTTGTCCAATCCTCATCTGAACCTGCTTCTTCTCGTGGTTGGTTGTTTTCTTCTTTTTTAAAAAAGATTTTTAAAAAAAATTTTTAGAGGGGAAGGGAAAGAGAAAGAAAAAGAAACATCACTATGTGCAATCTGTGACATCAGTTGATTGCGTCTTGTATACCCCCTACTGGGGACCTGGCCCGAAACTCAGGCCTGTGCTCTGACTGGGAACTGAACCAGCAGCCTTTCTTTTTACAGGTTGGCACTCAGTCCACTGAGCCACACCAGCCAGGGCTCTTTTTTCTTTTTAAAACCTCAGTGGATGTGGTACCACTATGTTCCCAGGTCCCCAAGCCAGAAGTCAGGTGGTC